ATGTCAAGTAACAACAACAACAACAACAACAACAATGATAACAACAACAACAACAATATGCAAACCAACAACAACAACAACAACAAAAAGAAATTGACAACATATTCTTGATTATTAGGATTACCTTTTTTGTTTTTGTTTTGTTTTCTTGAATTCATTAAGAATTTCTTGATTTTCTCATTAAGATCATTATGTTTGATCTTGATTTTTTGATTTGTTACAAAGATCCTCATCATTATCATTAATTATAATGCGACTATAATGATAATGATGATGATCAATATCATTTCTAATCAAAAATTTGTTCATTTTTGACCTTCAATCATCATCATCATCATTAGAATTTTATCCATCCATCCATCCGTAAACAAACAAATAACGAGCTTAAAATTAGATTTTTTTTTTTTTGAAGAAAATTTTTAAATTAATCAAATTAATCAAGAACCGAAAAACCGAAAAACAAAGAAACAGTTTTTACAAAGTACATGCAAGTATATCACATGCGAATTTTTTCGCATTATACCTAACAGTATCATCATTTCGTCGTAATCTTCAAAGAAGACGTGGTGGTGGTGGTGGTGCAAATAGCGGCGGTGGCGGTGGTGGTGATGGTTTGAATGATAGTTTTCGTTCAAAAACATCATCACGTCGTCGAAGTACATCATTAACAACAACAACAACCGGTAGTTTATTGAATGAACAACAACAACAACAACAACAACAACAATGTTCTTCCATAAAATCACCAATATCATCTATCGATCCTCAATTACAATCAAAAACGATCAATAATGAAAAAGAAACTGTAACGAAAATTGTAAAATTTAATCAACCAAGACAACCACCAACAACAACAACAACAACAAAGAAAAAATCATTTGATAAATCAAATGATGATTATCAATCGGAAAATTCAAAAGAAAGATTAACATTCAGACGTATTAGGTAAGTTTTGGTTTAACTTGCTTGGCTTTTGGCTTCGGTTTTTGGATTTTCCATACAGAAAAAAAATCAAATTCTGTGTGTTTTCATCATTTTTTGGTTGAACCAAAAAAATTTTTTTTTCCATTAATTTCTCATTAGTTTTGGTTATCAGAAAAAGCTTTGTTGTTGTTGCGCAACCATTCTCTCTTTTTTTAATTAGCTTTTCATAATTATCCATTTGAATATTCGAGGTTTTGAATTTCCATTTTTTTTTTCTTCTGGTTACCTGGATACATGATTAGATTTGGGTTTTTTCGGGTTATTTTTTCATTGTTGTTGTTGTTGTCGATTTTTTTTGGGTTTCTGGTTTCACAGTTTCAAACATCAATTTTTGAAAATTTTTCTGCTTACAGCGTTTATTGAAATATTTCGCGGTTTTTTTTTGCGTAGCGGTTTGATTCTCTGTCGCTAGATGTAGCGATTTGTAGTAGTCAGAATTTTGTTTTTTTTTCTAAAAAAGAATTTTCAAGAATCGTGATGAAAAAACAAATCAAAAATTCATTCATAAATATTCATTATGAGTACAGAATAAATCTGACCTGTGTGCGTGTGTGTGTGTGTGTCTTTGGGGAAACGAAGAAGAATATTCATGAATTATGATCATCATTATATTGATATATTTAGCTTTTTTTTTGTTGTTGACAGAATTGTGTAAATTTTCTCGTAAATTTTTTTCCCGTAAACTTTCCCATAAACTTTCTCATTTTTTGACCAAAAAAAAAAATATTCTTCAACTCAAATTCTTCTTTTTCGCTACATTTTTCTTTTCCACTTTTCTTTTTGTTGCAATCAACTACATTATCATCATCATCTAAAGAAACAACTTAAGAATCATTGATTCGTAAGAATCGTATACAAGAAAAAGAAAAAAAGTAAAAGTTAACATTAGCAGCAGCAATATTTTTCATTTTTTTCTTTGGTTTTTTCTTTACTTTTTTTTTCTTACAACCAATAATTTTCTTCTCTCTGAACTCGTTTTCCATTTCATTTTTTTTGTTTCTTTCGCTAAGTTCTTCTCCACTTTTTTTTTCTTTTCTTCAAACAAGAAATATAAAAATGGGATCCATTTCATTATTATGTTCGGTTCTGGGTACATTCTCTCTCTCTCTCTCTCGCTCTCTCTCGCCGACTCACTCATTTTGTTCCATTTTTAACCCAAAAAAAACCAGAATAATAATAAAACCAAACCAAAGCAAACCAGAATTCATTTGCCTGTAAATGGTGAATATATATTCTTTGTATCCACATTCATTCATTCATTCATTCATTTTTCGGTATTGGATTCTTTTTTTATTCGGTTCATCTTTATTATTATTTGTCGGCGACGAAAGCAACGATATTGTTGTTGTTGTTGTTGATGATAGTGATGAACGATTTTGTTAAATTTTTTTTTTTTTTTTTTTGGTTTTTTTCATTTGATTCGTTTCAAAACTTTGTATTTTTCCCTTTCACCAGAATCATTACTACCACTACCATATTCTGGAAAATAACCCGGCTTAAAAGTAGTAGTATGAAAAAATGAATGAATACTAATGGAACAATTTCGGGCTAGTGGTATTAGTAGTGATAGTAGTAGTGGTAGTGATTCTTTTCAAGTATATAACCAGTTTGTTATCATCATCATCATCATTAATATTACTACTAATTTTTACTTTCAAAACAAAACTAAACAGAAAAAAATCTAATAGTCGATTCTGGTTGTCGATGATGATGATGATGATGATCATCTCGCTAAACAGAGAATTTGGATAGTGGTATTATTGAGAGAAAGAGAGTGAAACAGAAACTCATAGAACCATAAAGAATATATTCTTGGGTCCTGAATGACACATTCGAATAACACATGCGT